ATAGCGATTGCACACAAAATGACAACAATGTTACTTTATTAGTCACATTTTATTGGCGTAATGTCGACAGAATATTCTGTGCCATGTCACTCAAAATCATAATGAAATTAATCGCTTTAATGTAGATCAGACGTGGCCAGACATTATTTATTAATGTTTTTTACAGTTAAAAATTTTAGAGTCATAATTAATGTTATATTATTGTACAATTTTTATAATCCCTTGCATTATTAGTAATTGATAATCCCTACTCACACATGTGTTATGGTATTTGTATTCAGTTTTTAATAAAATGATTACAACTACTGTAATAATACCCATTCTTACCATCATGGACACTTCTGATGTAGATAATACAGCATTTATTATTTATATATTGTAAACAATATTAAAAATTTTAATCTTAATTTGTGTTTAAACCTAACAAATATAGTATGATATTAGTATTTAGTGTTGAGATAATATAGTATTAATAAATAGACAGTAAGCTTTTATGGGATTTAATAATAAATATTGTTATTTTAAATTTTGATTTATTATTTATTCAAAATAATTTTAGTTGTATATAAAAGTTATATATAAAACCTTATCATTAATTTATAAATCTAAAATCATACGTTAACAAATCTAATGTTAATATGTTAGTAAGCTATAATTATAGTTTATATTTATAAATTTATATTATTTTTATACCCTTCTATAAAAATTAATTTTCATAATCGCTAAATATTTAAACCTTTTCCAAGTAAATCCACAATTTTATATAAATTTATATTTTATTTAAGATCTGATTTGATTTCAAATTATGCGATTATGAGATTTTGTTTGACATCCACTCCACTGATGTGTAAAAATACAAATTAATTCAACGGAATCTCTATTTCACTTCCATTTACTGTATATCAGATTTAATGCATTATACAATTCATGCATTTATTTAATTCGTGTCTAATATGGGATTTGAATACATATATATATTATTTATAAATAATGATAAACATTATTAATATTCATTTAAACTCGCTATATTTGAGTAATAAATAAGATGAGCATTGAGTTTTAAATAAAATAAAATTTTTGTTACCAAATATTCTGTATGAATAGTGAAATTAATAGCCAGAATACAATATATGATTGCATAATTTGTAAATTTTAATGACTAAGAATTGAAATTAAAATCTAAACTTAATGAAAATAATTGAAACTGAAATTAAATTTCATCATTTATTTCAGTATTAAATAAGAATTTTTACATTTCTTATAATGAATTCTCATGTGATTTCTTTTAGTAAATGTTTTTCATTTATTAATAAATACCAGATACTTAATACACATACGATATACTAAATATATATCTCACATGCTTTAATTTATGTTCATACATAGATTTATTTAAAAGTTATATTTACTATAGCATTAATTTAAAAATAAAATAATATGTTCATAATAATTATTAAAATGAAAAGACATTTTTCAAAACATTCATTAGTAATTCAAATCCTTCATTGACTTATGTTTTTCATATCAGTTTGAATTATTGTATAAAGTTGTACATTATTAACAATTTATATTCATTAAAAAATATTAATAAAATAAATGAATAATAATCAACACATACAATAGCTATTATTAACAGCTATTATTATAAGCAAATATTAACATTAATATTTATTTTTTTTAAATTTTCGCCTGAATATATTAAAACATTTACCAGTAAACCCATTTCCAATCACACTATTAGTTACTTAACATAACACAGAATCCAATATACATTAGCCGTTACATCGCATTCATTTCAATTGATTTATGTCTGACAATGAGTACACATCGCACACGACACGAGAGATAGGCCTATCAAAGGGGACAGGCATCTCAAATCAAATACTAATTTATTAATAGAAATCGCATTGAATTGTAAATTCCAGTCTCGTATACGACCGACGATCTGGTGTTTGATTGGGAGACCGAAACACCTCTGGCTGTCGACGAGTCCATTGAATTGCCTCAACACGACCTCATCGACAAACACGTCGGCGACTGCACTCAAGTCTATTCCTCAGGTCAGTCCACAAGCAGAATATTCTGTGCATTATATGATAAATAGGCGCATATATGATGTATATTTATATTAATGTCTTACACTTAACTCAAAGATTGTCACACAAATTATTTACTAGTCGTTGAGTGAAATATAATTATTATTTTGAACCACAATAATCTATCGGATTATATAATAACCAGTTTTAACACATTTTGGTATTGGGTTTATCGATTAATAAAGAAAGTTACGATTCATAGCCATAATAATAATAATAATACACAGTAGATTAGTATTTAGTGTTCATATACCATAGCCAAATAGATTTACAGATATAAAGAGTAAATATTTCATAAACACAACTAATCTTTGTATTCAAATCCAATGAACTCTGTTTTAAATCTCAAAAGCGATAAACAATTTTTGTTATGCTAAATAATTCCCGGGATTTAATGAATAATGAGATATTAATTTCAATTATAATTGAATCATGTACACTTGTTATGCCAACAATTCCAATGGTGCGTGAACTCATACAATAAATTGAAAATAGTTGATACCATTAAATGCAGAATATTCTGCGCTTAAAATAAATTCCTTTAAATATAAAAATAATAAATAGGAAAACTTTTTTAAAAATGAATGCCATTTTTGGGCAGCACTTATGTGCTTAACATAACACGAATTTTTAATTAGATTTTTTAGTAGCAAAATAGCAGTTGCTTGGCGTTGAGTCTAATTCAGATATCTTACACATGATATCATCATATTATCAAATTGTACAGTCAGTGAGAGAGCGCCTGAGAGAGAGAGAGAGAGAGAGAGAGAGAGAGAGAACTAATGGCTGAAAATTAGTTAATTTGCTTCTCTCTGCTAATTCTCCAACACTTTTAACGCCAAACGAAATGCCATTTTATGGTTAAGTGACGCAAATATCCAACAATTTTTCATATCAATAGCCAACGCATAAGAGTATTAGTGTTGAGATAATCACTTCTCTCATGAATTAAATTAGTTTTTGCGTTGTATTGACTTAAAAATGAAATACATAATCGCTGTGATTAAATAAATTATTAAATATGCTAAACTTATTATTAGCAACGCTATTTAGAAATACATTATTTTGAACAAATTTTTATCAATTATTTAAATTTCATATAAATATGTGTCCATTAAATGGATTGAATTTATAAATTAATAGCATAGAGAGAATTATAATATTAACATACCGTTAATGTAATTGCAATGTTTTTGCAATGAAAACCGATTAATTATTTATATTCATTATTCGATAAATTCAAACGTTGATAAGCTTAGTGTCATTTATACCCGGTACTTAACCATATAAAAAATTTTATGCAATTTTTTGTTATATATTTTTAAGCGTCGAATTACATGAAAAAAAATATAAATAATACTTAAAATAGACCATTAGTTTACAAACAATAAAATTAATGAATGAAAAGCCAGTTATTCTATCTCTCAAATAAAAAACAATAGAGAGAAAGTGAAAAGTTTTATTTGTTATAAAAAGCCTTTTTTCCAAATATATTAATCCCCAGACGTTCACCGAAAACGACCTAAAAGTCTTCAAAATATCAGTCAAGAGAATAAGGAATTAATAAAAATTTTATTTATAGAAACGCTATTTCATAGCAAAATGGATACACAAATCTACAAATCCTAATCTTTTGATAAATTTATATGTTTACTGACTTGTGAGAATAATAAGTTAATTTACACACATTGTATGTTTTGATTTATTTAGCCAGTCCACTGAAAATAATAAATAACAAATTAATGTCAAAAATAAATTTCACATACAAATAGAGTTCGCGGAACCCTTTCACTACATTTTTATCAATAGTTTACATTTCAATTAGAATTTAGTTTTACAAATATAGTTTCATAGGTCATCATGATCATTATTGAATCAATACAGTACTCATGCAATGTATATACATTGGAGAATATTCTATTTATTATAGAATTGTATATCTATTGAGTGAAGTGTAATCTATCATTGTATTGATCATTCATTTAACAAAAGATTTATTCGCAACTCTTTATGTATTTGTTGTGAAATGTTTGCAAATTATTTAACAAAAGCTCGCATTAATTGTGATTTATTTTCTACATTACAGGAAACTTCACTTGTGTTCAGGTGTTGTTTACAATAAAAAGGAGACTGGGTATGTTAACATAAGTTATTTCTGTGTTTTTACTGAACATTTATATATTTTGATTTTTAATTTATTTTATAAAATGTATCTGTTTATTATTATTTTTATTTAAGTATTAATATAATTTATTTAATTTTAATGTAGTTATAACTTAATTATAAATAAGATATAACTTAAATTAAAACTTTGTCTAAAAGTTTTAACTCAATTAAAAGTGATTTAAAACAAATCTTTGAACAAATTATTACAACATATAATATAATTTAATAATTAATACGACCAAGAATTGTTATCTATGTTTATTATTTCCCGGTACAGTAGCATATATTTAAGCAACATTTACTCAGCCATACAAAAATAAAATCCATTTTTATTTCATAAAAGTTTTTTTTATTCCCTACTTTTATGGAGTTATGAAAAACAAATTTGTTTTTATATATTTCCAGTTTATGTCACATATTTATAAACATTTTCGTTGCAAATCTTATTTTCTTAATACAAAACTATTGATT